AGCAACTATTATCTTCTTTCACATAGTTATTTCCATCTTCCGCTTTATGTGGAAGATAGAGAGGTCCAGTCAATATGTAAGTATTCAAGCTCTTCTTGGCGATCTTTCTAAATCACAGAACTTGTAACTCACCTACTCCTTGAAAGAAAATGGTTCTCCCAAATATGAAAGAACGAACATACCTAGCATAGCGCTCCAAATCATTCCATTTATCCCTATTGAAACCTTTTCCTACTTGGGGACTCATATTTGTCAATAAGAACGTCTGATCGACAGATTTCTGCGTTTTCCGGTGATTTCCAGCTGCGGCTAGAATGTCCACGATCGTAACCACTTCCCTGCAAACACGATGAATGCAATCAAGTGGCAATAATAATGAAACTAGATAATCAGGGCACGGGAAAATGTTGTTTCACGTGCCACGTCATGTCGGTTTGTCTGGCCCTCTCACTGAACAGTAAAGTGACTGCAGCCTAAGACTTCGAAAATATGTGCTAAGTTAAGACAGACAATAGAAGTCAAGAAATGGCTAGTCGCGCTGCCCCTTGGCATCCCCCTACTACCTTTGCTGTACCATAAAAGTGCTCCAAACGATGGAAAATAGAAAAATAACGAATGTAAAAAGAAAATGTGAAAGGTGATAATAGTTGCTGTTAGAGTATGGCGCATAACTGAGAGCAGTTCGGGGTGCGGCTAGGATGTTTGAGGTGTGGCTATGGATCCAGAGGGAAGACAGGCGGAGTCGTACATACAGTCATAATCCCTGCAAACAGTAGTGCGTCTGACGGGGGCAAGGCTTGCATCGCGGCCAGAATAGTCCTTCCGATCAATAGTTGCGGACTCCACAACAGGGTAGCATCATTCAAGGAAAGCTGCCTTGCCAGCACTGCAATCCAAGCCCTCCCCCCGCACGTCCTATCATATGCAGGGATCACGACTGTACGTGAAGGAGGAGTCGGCACGGGAATGTGCAACTGTCGCCAGGCGTACCGCTTTTCACTCAGAAGAACGAAAAAAAGCAAAATATTGAGTGAGAATAAAAACACAACAGAAAACCGAGTTAACATAGGGAACAGTTGAAAAACCCACCCTGTAGTCTGTGTTCTCCGACTGGAAATACTTGTGTATGCTGGGATCTGAACGGAATTCGCATTTTGAACGGTCTACCGACGGATCATAGATCAACCTTGACGGCGTTAAGTGTTCGCACACCTGCAAGCCTTTTCCGTTTTTCTATGCTCCTTCATCAAAAATCTGAAGTTATGCTCACCTTTACCGATCATACGACAGCAGCAATATTCTTCAAAGGTGGGCAGAGATTGTCGAAGGCCTGGAAAACGCGTATGCGCATAATTTCTCCGAGGCACGAGATGGACCCATCTCGTAGCTCGGTTTAGCCTGTACTGCTGGCTCTAACTGCAGTGGCGGCAGGGTGGGAACAGGCTAAAAAGGCTCGGTGGTTTATTATAATACAACTCTTGGGGCCGAATGTAAATTCAGCAGTTAGAATTGCAATGAAACAGAAATGGGGCAGCAGTATAAAGGCGGAGGCTGTCTGGAGACATTAGATAATGACTGTTCCCTTCATGGCAACCCTTCTGCCTTTCTACACATGATGACTACAGTAAGCTCAATCCAACAACTAATTCACTTACACAGTTCGGAGAGGCCAGAACATGGCGCGGTTGTCTGGTTTTCGTGAATGGGCTGTTAGGCTGGTTCTATGCGCCTCGCTCACAGTGACAATGATGCTAGTAGAGGAAATGAGACGTCGACGCCTTGCCGTGCAAGCCCTCCAAACCCATTTGAGGTCGCGTTCATAATTCGCGTCAGCGTTTCGGGCGTACGGCAGCGCTTTGAGAGCTTCGAGCGCACGGAAGCGTTCCAGAAGGGTATAGATATCGATCCAGCGTGCATCCCAGCGCCGCAATTCTTGTCTGACCTCTACACTGATGATTGTTTTGAGAATGTGTAACGAAAATACCGACAGATTTCGTAATCATCAGGTTGGTTCACACTTTGCCGAGAGAGGATAGGAGGGTAGGAGAATGCACGCCGAAGAAAAGCATGGATATCGATCCGAAGACTTTGTAGAATGGCAGGATCAGTGGTTCGCCACGTTAACCAAGACAGCCTTAGGATGTTTGCATATCTAGCGAAACGAAGCTGAAGTACTGGAGAATCTCGTGATCGGGAGAAAATTAGAACCAGCGAAAAGGAGGTACGTACGCATAGACTTGCATCAAGACCTGAAGTATTGGAAGCTTCGGCGAAATGTTATACTTGTATGCTCAATCTCCGATTCTCCCGATCCCACGATTTTTCCCTTTTTGGGTCGCAAGGTATGAATGACTGATTATTAAGGGCTCCCATTACACGACAGTGCCTGTAACCCGAGAAGAAGAGTAATAAAAATTTGAAACGAAAGATTTACTCACAGATAATGCAGTAGCAGCATGAGCGCTTCGAAGAGGGTTTTCGTTCCCGTATCGAGCACCAAGGAGAAAAGAGCCACCGGCTACGGCTATAACACCGCCAGCACGCCATGCGTTCCGGAGCATGCTTCTGAAAACGTAAAGAAGTAGCAGAAACTAGTAGTATCGCACTCATAGTTCTACAGCTGTAAAAAAAACTGCACTTATGGTTCTAAAGTTGCTAAAAACTGTAAGTCTGGTGCAGATTAAACATGAAAAATCAAAGTCAGGCAGCGTTCAGACTTCGCGATGACGTGTGCTACCACAGCGGTGTCACCCCGATGCTACACTAGAACGGAACGCAGCCGCAGACGGGTATCGATCGGCGCTGGCTGCTTGTATTTTGAGAAAGTTT